GTCGATAAATATCGATACCGTTTTATCGCCCAGGCCTAGTCATGACATCCTTTTAAGCTTTTGTTTATCCTGTTGTCTTGTCACGCATGGAGTATAATCAGAAACTGAATGGGCATCTGTAAACTGTATCTAGTTAAGACACCGTCATTGACTATAATGGGTTCTACTTGCTTTTGCAACTACGCTCACAACGAGTGTAGGCAAATGTCAGCTGTTCAGAAACTGAATGCCAGTGGGCAAGGCCGGTTGAGTGATGTTGTATAACTACTCGTCGATGCCTTGCTCTAGAGGTAGTCATATACATATGTTTAAATACATTTGCCATGTGACGTCCCACAAAATCCAAACGAGCCATTTTGTACAATTTATATAAACTTTGAATTAAAATGTCTTTTCAGTAGTTTACGTCAAGTACAGCCTGCCACCCTGCAAGACAGGACATTTCTGCTCAACTACCAACTATCAATAACCCTTAGCTAAAGGGAAAAAAACTCTGAACGTACCTATGGTTTCTGCTTTGCTGAACCTCCTAGGGACAATGTTGTCCATGTTGCTGTCTTCACATAGCATGAGTTCAGTGAGATATACTTCCACCTTACAGTGTTTCACAAACACGCCCGCTTCTACCACCTGAGGACAAACAATAGACAAGAACAACAGTGAAACACAACAGTGAAAAACCCCACATTTGACACTCTGCAGTTAATCACAACTGGAATCTCAATGGAAAAAAATGGTGGGTTGAAGTCAAACAAAACAAGTCATGTATCATCAGATCACTTTCGATGGCTCTGCTTCTCATTTCTGACATTCTCATCTTGGAACAAATGCAACTGATCCACTGATGACAATGAAGCTGAGGCTTTTTATGAGCCATAAATTATTGGCAACATGCAGTATCTCAATCACAGTGCACATTGTCCACTGTCCTAATCAACTCACCTTTTTACAGAAACCATGAAGAAATTTACTCATTTCAGGCCTTGGTTCACCATTGTTCATATTATCAGCACCTCATTGGTTTTTAGCAGACATGTCGAAGTCTGAACTGTTTCCTTAGTTCACCAGTTCAGTGTACTGGTGACACGAGAACTATACTAAGCATTGACTAGACTGTTGACTAGAGAGAAAACTGCTTTCTGTGTACTACTATTATCCCTCTGGTGTCTGACGGGGTTTTGAGGACCTGGAGAAGTTTTGACATGCCCTGACATTTGCTTAAAATGGCTAAAGTCTGATAACACTGTATTTAGCACAAACTGGGCTACAGTAATATGTGAGCAACATGGATGTACATGTTTGTGTTTGTGAGAAAACAATGTTTATGCGTGGTTAGTGAAAAACTATATATTTTAAGGTCACTGAAATAAAGCCAATATTTTAAACTATAAAATAAAACAAAAGGCTATAGTGGCATTCATTATAAACAACACAAATATGTCAAGCAAAACTGAAACGGCATTGGGCTCACGCGCCTGTCTCATAACACAAGAATCCAAATGTATCCATTTTTGCCATATCCTATTTGTAACATTAGTTTGCATAACTATTATTCATTATGTAGCCTAAACATGGCTTTATACTTCACTCATGTTCTAATATTCGTGTGAAATCCTTCACATGCGCAAAAATTTTAGTTTGGGTGCTGCACGCTGATTTTACAGCGGACCTATAAATGTAATAAACAGTGTAACTTTTATGTTTGGTTGACTGCATTTTAGTTTGATGATGAATGGCTGAAATGTCAGCAACGCTAGAACTAATGTCGTTTGTGAGTGCGTGAGGCGCCTGTGCGATCAGATGAATTAAATCAAATAAAGAAAAAAAAATAAAATGCATTAAGAGTGTCACAAAAAACGAGCGTAGCCTATACTTGTTGCACAGTAAATGCAACTGATCCACTGATGACAATGAAGCTGAGGCTTTTTATGAGCCATAAATTGTTGGCAACATGCAGTATCTCAATCACAGTGCACATTGTCCACTGTCCTAATCAACTCACCTTTTTACAGAAACCATGAAGAAATGTACTCATTTCAGGCCTTGGTTCACCATTGTTCATATTATCAGCACCTCATTGGTTTTTAGCAGACATGTCGAAGTCTGAACTGTTTCCTTAGTTCACCAGTTCAGTGTACTGGTGACACGAGAACTATACTAAGCATTGACTAGACTGTTGACTAGAGAGAAAACTGCTTTCTGTGTACTACTATTATCCCTCTGGTGTCTGACGGGGTTTTGAGGACCTGGAGAAGTTTTGACATGCCCTGACATTTGCTTAAAATGGCTAAAGTCTGATAACACTGTATTTAGCACAAACTGGGCTACAGTAATATGTGAGCAACATGGATGTACATGTTTGTGTTTGTGAGAAAACAATGTTTATGCGTGGTTAGTGAAAAACTATATATTTTAAGGTCACTGAAATAAAGCCAAAAACACATACAGAACATTTGTTCACAAGGCTTTTGAGAACTGGATGTGGTAGATCACATGCGCAAAAATTTTAGTTTGGGTGCTGCACGCTGATTTTACAGCGGACCTATAAATGTAATAAACAGTGTAACTTTTATGTTTGGTTGACTGCATTTTAGTTTGATGATGAATGGCTGAAATGTCAGCAACGCTAGAACTAATGTCGTTTGTGAGTGCGTGAGGCGCCTGTGCGATCAGATGAATTAAATCAAATAAAGAAAAAAAAATAAAATGCATTAAGAGTGTCACAAAAGACGAGAGTAGCCTATACTTGTTGCACAGTGGTTTTTTTTCTCCTTTTGTTAATCTGTTAATTATATTATAGTCTATTATATATTTTGTGTAATCCTATTTATTTTATTCCTTTTATAGACTTAATTTCTGTTTTTCTCCTTTCACAGTTAAGCGCAGCAGGTGCATGATGCAATGATTGAATCCTCGTGGTCTTGTTTACGCTACTATTCGCGCATATAAAGCTAAAGACATTCTAACGAGCGTAGCCTATACTTGTTGCACAGTGGGTTTTTTTCTCCTTTTGTTAATCTGTTAATTATATTATAGCCTATTATATATTTTGTGTATTTATTTTATTCCTTTTATAGACTTAATTTCTGTTTTTAATTTCTTTCACAGTTAAGCGCAGCAGGTGCATGATGCAATGATTGAATCCTCGTGGTCTTGTTTACGCTACTATTCGCGCATATAAAGCTAAAGACATTCTAATCTTACTGGTTAACGATCGACTAATGAGCTTCGTTTGACGGTCAGGAAAATAAAAATGAACAAAACGCTGTCATTCTAGAATTCTCCACCATATTTACATTGCTGCGCGCAAGTTCAGGTAACTCAAAAACGTGCGTCCACGAGCTGAGACCAGACGTGAGATTTGATCGTAGCCACCGCTAACGTCCATATTGATAAATTCCAAGTTTTGCGTTGAAACGACCGTACGCCCAATTTTCTGTCGTACGTTTGTTTCGTAAATGAGGCCCAATGAGTTTAGACAGGAAAAACTGTACCTCTCGTTGGTTTCATATGGATTACATTATCAGAGAATATTTGTTTTCTTTATATTTCGACATGACTAACTTCGAGAGCAGTGAATGGGAGAGTGCTAACAAATGTATTTTTTGCATTCCCATTTGCTCAAATAGCAAAAGAAAATCTCCATATTTTGATACAAATTTGATATAATGTATAGTTAAAAATGTACAGTTGAAAACAATATTATTAGCCCCCTATAAAATTTCAAATAACAAATTTTTCAACAAAGCAAGGGAATTTTAACAGTATTTCTTATTAAAATAGCAAAAGAAAATCTCCATATTTTGATACAAATTTGATATAATGTATAGTTAAAAATGTACATACATTTAAAAAATAAATATATATATATATAAAAAACTTTTGATGATTTATGATGTGGATGATCATTGAAACAAGTCATCAGTTTTGTGACATATATATACACAGTTGAAAACAATATTATTAGCCCCCTATAAAATTTCAAATAACAAATTTTTCAACAAAGCAAGGGAATTTTAACAGTATTTCTTATTATATTTTAATCTGGAGAAAGCTTTATTTAAATTTGCCTGGAATAGAATAATTATTAAAAAAAAACTGCTGAGGTCAATATTATTATTTTTTAACAATTGGATGTTCAATTGTTAGTTTCTTTTTTTTTTTACTCTTACTCAAGTAACTATTAAGATTATTACTTTTAATTACTTGAGTAACTATTTCCAGAAGTACTTGTACATTTACCGGAGTACAGTTTTTGGATATTCTACCCACCTCTATAAAAAATCAGCCAATAAATAAATAAACTGGCGGCCGATATATTGGTGCATGTCTAGTTTTCACAAAGTTTAAGATGTAGATAAAGATCGTCAGATGTTTGCTGTCTGTCAATGTTGAAAATGACACTTTGTCTACATCAGAAAAGAGCAATGTGACGTAGTATGCAACAATAGCTATGTTTCCATTCTCCTATTTTTATGTGCATTTTGGGTTTATCGCATAAAAGACCGCTGGATGGAAACGCCAAGATGCGCATACATTTTTAAAAATGTGCATAAAAAAACGTATGCGCACAACCGAGTAGGATAAACTTTTTAACCGATAAGAAAAAATGTACATAAACTACGATGGAAACACATTTACCGAATAAATTCCACCAATGCGCATTGAAAAAGTCATGTGACTTTGCGCTATGAGACGGGATAAATTGACTAACCAGCGGACCGATCTCGTTCACAGCATCTATATGTTGTTTTGGTCGTTCTGAAATGCCTGAGGAAAGTCTGTCATCAAAGTGTTTCTGTATAATTACTGTCTTACACGACTGCGTTCCCAAACAGCAGGCATCCGCCTCTAAAAGCAATGACCGCATTTATTGTGTTACGTCTGCTCGCTCTGAAGCGCAAGTCATTTATTAAATATGAAAATTATTATATTCAGTGGCTTCTCCTAGTTTTCTTAAGATATTTAGTGCTAGTTTATCAGGAAGTGACGATTTTGTACTCTTTGACTCGTTGGATGGAAACGGTGCTTTATTCGCAAATGTTTTATGCAATATTCCAGTTTTGCGCATAAGTTAAATTTGCGTCTTTGGATGGGAAAATAGCTAATTACAAGTAAGTAATGATGTCTACAGTGGATATGGACAGCTCGGCTTCCCTTCCAGACAGCTTTACCTTTCGAGCAATAGGCTCCTGTCCATCTTTCAGGCCGTACCAGCTCACAAGCTTCTTCCAGCCCTCTGTGGGAACCAGGGTATAGTCCAGCTCATCAATGAGGTGTTCCTTAATGTCCAGCGTGTCCCAATCTACAGACAGGACACACATACATCACTGATGTGCAGCAGAAGAGAAATGCTTTAAACTTCTATGTCATGTGAGAAATCATTTGAGAAAATATCAGCCTTAGAATTTAAACGAATGTGACACTGAGATTACACCGCTGGATAACCGGCGAACCCCGGTTAAAATGCATACATAAGAATGCTTATTTAATTTAACCGGTTTCATGTCCGTTACTATCAGCGTGTCCGTTTTGCTCCAGCTGTATAAACACCAATTTGTAAATGCTGCTGCTAATATGCTTAATGTTTCGCTCCTGCATACGATGCAAACTGCTAACATGACACTTAGTGTAAACTGTTTATGGTTGCTAATTTTTTAATTCACTTAGGCAGACCACTCAATATACACAGCGATATGGATTAAAAGAATATTCATGTTACATGTGTGTAGTTTTAATTGGGTTTCTTTTCTCTTGTCCATCTTGTAATGATTTGCCCACCCTCTAGGGGTTGGAAGAGTTTTTTTTGTATCCGTGTCATGCGTTCCCAAACAGAAGGCATCCACCTCTAATAGCAGTGACCACATTTATTGTGTTATGTCTGCTCTCTCTGAAGCGCAAGTCATTTATTACATATGAAAATTATTATATTCAGTGGCTTCTCCTAGTTTTCTTAAGATATTTAGTGCTAGTTTATCAGGAAGTGACGATTTTGTACTCTTTGACTCGTTGGATGGAAACGGTGCTTTATTCGCAAATGTTTTATGCAATATTCCAGTTTTGCGCATAAGTTAAATTTGCGTCTTTGGATGGGAAAATAGCTAATTACAAGTAAGTAATGATGTCTACAGTGGATATGGACAGCTCGGCTTCCCTTCCAGACAGCTTTACCTTTCGAGCAATAGGCTCCTGTCCATCTTTCAGGCCGTACCAGCTCACAAGCTTCTTCCAGCCCTCTGTGGGAACCAGGGTATAGTCCAGCTCATCAATGAGGTGTTCCTTAATGTCCAGCGTGTCCCAATCTACAGACAGGACACACATACATCACTGATGTGCAGCAGAAGAGAAATGCTTTAAACTTCTATGTCATGTGAGAAATCATTTGAGAAAATATCAGCCTTAGAATTTAAACGAATGTGACACTGAGATTACACCGCTGGATAACCGGCGAACCCCGGTTAAAATGCATACATAAGAATGCTTATTTAATTTAACCGGTTTCATGTCCGTTACTATCAGCGTGTCCGTTTTGCTCCAGCTGTATAAACACCAATTTGTAAATGCTGCTGCTAATATGCTTAATGTTTCGCTCCTGCATACGATGCAAACTGCTAACATGACACTTAGTGTAAACTGTTTATGGTTGCTCATTTTTTAATTCACTTAGGCAGACCACTCAATATACACAGCGATATGGATTAAAAGAATATTCATGTTACATGTGTGTAGTTTTAATTGGGTTTCTTTTCTCTTGTCCATCTTGTAATGATTTGCCCACCCTCTAGGGGTTGGAAGAGTTTTTTTTGTATCCGTGTCATTTAGTGCCTATAAGAAGTCGTTGCCAGATTGGTGCGGGTGGCGTTTCCAGCTGCAGTCCTGTTGCACTCTCGTTTGTTTTGTTTTCCTGACTATTTTTCCTTCCCACTTTATGTTATGTCTTTATTCTGAATAAATTCCCCTAATGAACCGAGCTTTTTTGTGCTGTCCCTTTTTCTGTTATGCATCTTAGATGCTGATTTCAGCTGTTTCTGAAGCACGCTGCAACTACAGCAAGCACTTGTCATATATTTGAATGTTGAGCAGCGAGCTCATTGGCTACAGATACAGGAGAGACCCAGTCAGCTGTGCCGTATAACAATGATGTCAGATTGGTTAGACCTATCGTACTGCGCCATCTAGAGTTTCATGCCAGAACTTTGTATATGTAAGCAATAAGGTACGAGAGGCCATGCTGCATTGAGAATAAGTCACGGCTGAAAGGCGTTGTTAGGTTTAATAAAATTGGGGGTGTGTAATGTATGGATTGATACAATACTTTTTTCGTTAAATTCCACTAAAAAATAGCTCCTGACAGAGAATGATCTAATGTGACATGCCTCATCTTATAGAACTCAAATAAACACAGAGAATAGAAATTCTTCTCATCCATGGTGTCGTTTATTTTTAACACCATATATGATGTTTTACATGCACGCATACATCTGCTTATCTCTCAGCATGAGAAAACGTCTGTTTTCCGTGTTTTGGTTTTAAAACAGACTGATTTGCAGCACAGTGTGAGATTGCAAGTGTCATTACAGTGTAAACTGATGGACATGTGGACATACAGAATCATACCTGAAACAGAAAACTAATACAATAATATTCCCTCCTCACTTCGGAAACTGTGAGCTTCCACAGATGCGCATGTGCACACATCAACGATGGGGGGAAGGGCATGGGCATCTCAAAATTAAAGATGAAAGCTGCAACATAATGCCAGCAGGGGTCACTCATACTTCATTAAATAACAAACAGTTAATTTTGCCTAAATACATAATACATGGAACAGTTTTGATGCTATATTATTGATTGTTTATGTTGCTAGTGGTGTTGCTCAGTGATACACAGAACCATTGAGTGAAGCAGTCATAGCCGTGCTGTATCGTGAATAAAACACAGCTGCTGACCAATCAGAACTGAGGACTGGAACTAACCGTTATATATATATATATATATATATATATATATATACATATACACAGCGGGCAAAATATGTATCAAACACGTCACCATTTTTCCCAGTAAATATATTTCTAAAAGTGCTGTTGACATAAAATTTACACCAGATGTCGGTAACAACCAAAGTAATCCATACATACAAAATAATAATAATAATTTCAGAAATTAAGTTATGTGTAATAATATGGAATGAAACATGGAAAACGTATTTATTTGGAGAATAAACCATCTTAAATGTCTCTCTACGTACTGGTGTGTGTGTGTAAAACTTGCTTTTGATATCATATGCTGTGTGGTCAGTTCACAGCAGTGATAGAAATTAATCTGTTCCAATAAGTTTAAATTGATTTTTACATTTTACGGGCATTTTTACCTTTATAAAGCCTTTTTTTTAATATATAAAAGTGTGCATCATCTTTTGAGTCAAATTCTTACATTTAATCAGTCAATTAGAATAATGAGACATCTGGTCTGTTACCAAACAAATGATATCAGTGTCAACAAAATTAATCTTTGCAACGCAGAGGAAACACAGAAGCTGCATCTGAAGAGGAATTTAGATGTAGGCCTATTTACACTATTTAATTCGGCTCAGAGGGACATGAATGCATTTAACCTGCAGTTACAAATGAAAAAATTATATTTTGTTATTTTAAATATGAAACATTGAATACTGATATTTAGAATTATTTTAAAAATGAAAAGATACTTTAAATGTGAAATTAAAACCGCCAGTAGGTGGCAGTAAGTCACTGTTAATAAGTGAGTCATTGCGATTGAACTGAATCATTTAAACGGTCGATTCATTCAGGAACGAAACGCCCTCATGTTGCTCAGAGACACAAAACAGTGAACAGTGAAAAAAACAAAATAATGTTGTTGCCGAAATAGAGCACTACAGGCAATATGGTGTCTAAAATGTAAGTACCTTCATATTAACTTCGTTTATTGAACTGTTGCATAAAATCAGTATCACATTTGTAATCATGCTGATTTTTAGAGGTGAAAACTGGCACTCTTTAGTCTTCGTGTGATATTGACTAACTTTCTTTCTGTGGTATTTTTATGCATACTGTAACTGTATGGGGAGTGTGTCTGTGTGTCACAGAGAGAGAATAAGACAATCAACATGAATGGCGCTTAGTCTTTCACAAAACATAGCCGACTTAGGGACATCATAACTAGCCACCATATTGATTTACGGTCTTAAATGTGCATACTATCCCCCCTATCTGCCCTAAATAGTATTGAAAATTACTACTATCACAAAGAATTTAGGATGGATAGCGTGCACATTGGGACGCAGGCTATGTCCAGCGTTTATCGGGTTGTGCGTCAGTAATAATATAATATAATAATAGTAATAATGGTTCGTGGTGAAACACTGTTCCGTGTATAGTTACAGTAAATGGACTAAACCAAGCCTAATAATTTGCCTCGATAATTTTTGCATTCGAGTTACTCAAGGAATCATTTCAGCCCTAGTTCTGAGTTTGTCACACCGCAGAAAAATGTGTTATTAACCACCCAAGAACCAACGAACCACTGATGCTAATGCGCTCTAGTTATTAGGTGTGTGGTTGTCTTGAAGCAGCACTGCGAAGAACGATCGATGTTTGACATGAAAGTACTGCTAGAGCAATTTGAAAGCATAAAGAGCCATCTGCTCTCTATAGTTCTCACTATATTTTGATGTCCTACACCGATCGACCTGCACAGCGCTGCTTCAAGTCGAACACACCTCTTCTAGTGTTAGGAGACGGGAGGCCGTGATCAGTGGCTCCAGTGCAACATCGAGACATGTTTTCAAAATCCCGAACACAAAAATGGTCTCATCTTTCTATAAAATGCTTACTGTTGACAAAACAACTATCTCCGTTTTGAAAACTTGAAATATAGTTGGATTAAAGTGTAAATTTACTATAGGTGCACACCTCATATGTGGTGGATAAGCATGGTGATTTCCTTTTCCCATTTCCACATTTCTATTAATGCTCATTAATGCAGTAAAATAGAGACCTAAGTGCACAACTTGGTTTTGTTCTTTTGGTAAAAACTTACTTTTACTTCATGGTAAAGTTGATATTTGCATGAAATTTCTCACCTTTGAGCAGACCAGAGTTGTCCACTGGTCCAGGAAACACGTTCTGGCTGCCCATCCCATATTTGTCCCTACTGTCAAAACCCACATACTTCTTCCACTTCTTGAACCAGCTACTGTCCACCAAATACCTGCAGGAAACAACTCCAGATTAGGGCTGTCATGAAAGACTTTTCACTACACTATTATAGTTTCCAAAATAATTCACAATAACAATATACAACCCCAATTCCAGAGAAGTTGGGACATTTGGTAAAATGCAATAAAATTAAGAATCGTTGATTTGTTAATTCTCTTTAACTTTTATTTAAATTGACAAAAGTACAAAGAAAAGATTTCCAAAGTTTTCACTGACCAACGTAAATGTATTTTGTAAATATGAACAAATTTCGATTTTGATGGCTGCAACACGCTCCAAAAAAGTTGGGACGGAGGCATGTTTAACACTGTGTCACATCAACCTTTCTTTTAATTACAAGGTTTCATTGTCTGGGAATTGAGGATACTAATTGTTAAAGTTTTGCAAGCAAAGTATTTGTCCAGTCTCGCTTGATACAAGACTTCAGAAGCTCAGCAGTCTGTGATCGTCGTTGTCTGATTCTCCTTTACATGACTCGTCATACATTTTAAATAGGAGTCAGATCTGGACTGCAGGCAGGCCAGTCTAACACATTCACTCGGTCTCTACGAAACCACACTGTTGTAGCACATGCAGAATGAGAGCTGGCATTGTCTCGATCTAATAACCATGGACTTCCCATGAAAGACATCATCTTGATGGCAGTATATTTCTCTGTACAATCCCAATATATGCCTCCATGTCAATAGTAATTCACACATAATCCAGTCATATTCCGTTTGCTTTTGCTTCTGTCGCTAATGAAAGTCTGGATGGTCCCTTTGGTCTATGGGACTGAGAACTCGAAATCCATTTTTCCCAGAAACAAGTTGAAATGTAGACTCATCTGAGCACAGCACACATTTCCACCATCTTTTTAACTATCTGAGATGAGCTCTGGCTCAGAGAAAACGGCAGCATCGCTGCATAGAGTTGATGTATAGCTTTCTGCTAGAGTAACAGATATTCAAGTTGCATTTCTTGATGCAGCAGCAGACTGTGGTAAGTGACAATGGTTTTCTGAAGTACTCCTGAGCCCATGCGACTATATTTAACAGCATGACAGTTTCTTATGCAATGCCATATGAGGGCTCAAAGGTCAAGCACATTCACCTGAGCTTTCCTGCCTTGCCCTACATGTACTGTGATTTCTCTGGATTCCCTGAATCTTTTCACAATATTATTTATGGTACCTGGGCGAAAGACCTAAATTCTTTGCAATTTTGCATTGCAAAATGTGGTTTTTGATTTGTTTGACACTTCTCTTGTGAAATTTGGCACAAAGTGATGAGCCATGATCCAGCTTTGCTTGTAAAGACTGAGATGTTCCTTTTATAGCCAAACATGATACCTTGACCTATTACCAGTTCAGCTGCTTACTGTGAACAGTTTCAAAACAGTTTAAAGTGGATATTTTATAACCTTTTCACTTTTTTGTTTTCCTGTCCCAACTTTTTTGGAATGTGTTGTAGCCGTCAAAAACAAAATTTGTTCATATTTACAAAATACATTTACGTTAGTCAGTGAAAACTTTGGAAATCTTTTCTTTGTACTTTTGTCAGCTGATCTCGTGAAAATGCTGTCTGCACGAACCGGGTGCACAGAGGTATGCTAATACACATGTTGACAGGCAGGTAGGAAAGCCAATCAAAACACTCGAACGAGCGTATTGATTCGACGAACATTTCTTGGTCCTACGCCTTCCACAGAATATATAAATACATTTAGACCATTTAACTTAATAACTGCTATCGGGATGTGAAGAGACTTTCAACCAGCATAACAAAAAATGTTTCTGAAGACAATCACCCATTGCACCTTTAAAATGCAGTGCTTGCCTCTAATTTTAAATGGAAAGAGCACAGACAAAGCCTTATTTTGTTTATATGAAGAGATTTATTTTGTGTTATTTATTTATTTTATTTGGGTTTCGTTTTAAAATTTCAATTTAGTTTTGTTATTTACATTTACATTATATTTGCATTTTGAAGCGACTTACAAATGAGGACAATAGAAGCAATCAAAACCAACAAAAAGAGCAATGATATGCAAGTGCTATATTAGTATATTATTATGGTGTTATATTTCAATCTCACAAAGAAACATGCAACATTTTGTCCAAGCAATAATAAAAGGACACATTGTCTATAATGTCTTAAATCTCATTTTGTAAAAAAAAGTAATAATAATTGTGATTCGAATCGTCAGTTGAGTGAATCGTTACATTCCTATTCAACACAATATTGTTTGATTTTGCTAAATTGTGTAGGCTAGGTGTTCGACACTGCATGGACCGTTCTGTGTATGAAATCAAAGTACAGCGAAAGCGATTAGAGAGCATGTTTTAAATGTTTGTTTTGATGTCAAATAAATCTTGCTGGTTTGCAGTGTTGCTGTTATAAAGTTATACAGTTGCAGTTGTGTTGCTGGGTTTTAAAGCAGGTTTGATGGTTTTTTCTCATCAGTCTGTATTTACAGCAATTTCACTGTCCATCTGGTTCAAATGTGGATGAATATCTACATGTAGATGTGTGAACACACTGCCAGAGCTGTGTGAGATCACTACCATGCTGCATTTGTGGGCGTGTTAAATAAAATTGTTTTGTTTATTATAGGTTTTTAACATTCTAAAAGCTCTTTATTTCAATGATACTACAAGCTAGTCAGTGTATTCATTAGGTGTAATGTATTGTAAGCTGCTTCAAAGGCATAAGGTAATGCAAGTATTACATACAACAATAATAAAACCTGAAAATGTACTTTTGGTACTTTAAAAGCACTTAAGTAAAAATCTGTCTTCACAACTTTCACTTGTAATGGAGTAATATTTAACCAGCATTATCTGTACTTTCACGCAAGTAATGGAGTTGTGCACTTTGCCCACCTCTGCTCACCTTGTGCACTTGCTGCCTTCAAGTGCTGTCCGAATTAACGCAAATACGAGTTTCCTAATCGGGAATTGGACATGAACAGCCTCTCAAGTCGTATTTGGGTCAACGACACTAAGATGTCCGCATCAAAAGAAATGTACAAAAGTGATTTTATGTCCATAGAAAGCACATTAAATGTAAGTGAAGTGTCTATTTTAAGGTTTCAAGTAAGTTTTTGGAGAACAAAATGTCAAAATTTGGTTGAAATAATGTTACATCGTCATTCGGTCGGTGTAACACAATATTTATGTAAAAATTCAAACAACATGCTTATTCTGATGTGTACATATTCAAATATATAAAAGAATAAGGGAGCATATTAAATTTGATTGTGTTTTAAATGAGTAAAATATTCTTACTGACAAATGGGCAAAACCTAGGATAGTGGCAAATTTAAAAAATGTAAAATTAGTATTTGGGGTGAAAGTAATCAGTCTTTTAATATGTCATAAATAGATTTTTGTTGTAAATATGCCTGACAAGATTGTTACACTGAATGACATTTTAGTGGGTCCATTCTGTAAATCAGAGCAAAAATGTATGATATTTATTTTTTTGCTCAGAAAAACAAAAATGCAATTCAATTAAACAGAATTTTTAATTTAGAGAATTAAACAGCGGGCGGGGGGTGGGGGCAACAACAATTTAAAGCAGTATTACACTTATTGGGCCTCATTCATGAAACATTCGTAAATATACGAGTAAATTCTGAGTAATTTACGCTTAAAACAGACCTTCCCGAAAACTCTCCTCCGGATTCACAAATACTTCGTAAAGGTCAGATTTAATAGTTAAATGTGTGTATGTTAATGAGTTCCAATCATTTGTAAATAGGGCGCACATGTACGCTCATTCACAGCTACGCAAATTACGTATCTAGGAATGGTGTGGAATCCTTGGACTCAGTTCTCAGGTTTGGTAAGTTATAAAGCATAAATGCATAATAGGCTATGTGCCTAACAATAAATGAATAAATTAACGTGTGAGATTAAAATAAGCACACGTTTGAGCTTCAGTTTACCATATTTAATGTGCATAAGATAAAATAAAAAAAATGTAATGTACTTTTACTTGATCACATTTCTGAAGAAACTAGAAAAAAACAGTACTTTTTACTCCTTACAATTTTATATTATCTTGAAAAGTACAAGTAGTCAGTTTAAATTGTACTTGATTACAGTACTTTAGTGTTATTTTGGGGGATTTGGACTTTACTCAAGTAAAATTACTCAAATATTTTACACCCGTTTAAACCCAACCGCATCCTGCCCCCAACTGTCCTCTTTTTTCGAAAACTAAAACGTGAGCCTGGCAGTGGCGTAAGTGCAGACAGTGCCGCCGCACTGGGGCCCGTGCCGCGGGGGGGCCCGCAGCGCACGCGGGCCCTGCCCATGTTCCAAGCAGATTCCAAGACAGAACTGATAACAGCAGCAACGAGCGCTCGCCATAACACATTCCAGCGATAGATCGCCTGTTATTTAACACAGACCAACGAATCTGTTATCAAATAGGCTTATTTGCGGGTGGGACGGGTGGGACATGTCCCACCACTTTTTGCCAGGGTCGATATTAAAACAACAACATTTGACTCCTTACGCATGCATAACTCGTGCAGTACAATAACGACGTGATTTGCAGCCGTCGCACTTTTCTTAATGTCATTAGGCTATAGCATTTTATTTTTTTAAATGGAGAGCTTCCTTGTGCTAAGTAGGCCTGCCCTCTACTAAAGATTGTTCTAGTCAACTAGTCGCACGTTATATTAAATTGATTAATATAATAATATATTAACCATACTTCAATATAGGCTATAGGCAGACGTATCAGGCTAGAGCCTGTTCCGCGCTCAAGCTCGCGCATAAAAGAATTGCCTCAAAGCACAGGCAAAGTCATTATGAACGTGTCAGGGGGGAAAGAAGACATTTTAATTATTTACTAATAAACGAGTGCTTCCTGAGTCAGTGTCGGGTGCAAAGATGAGGTTACCGAATGCCGACGCTGACTCGCCATCTCCACATGGATGTGCCTTTAATAGAAATGCACCTTTTCATACGGACTACAAAATTAAAGAATATTACAAAATCGAGTGGGTGAGTTTTCCTTATATTTATTTTATTATTCGTATACAAATTATAATTACCTGTTTTGGTTATATTTACTATTAATTGCAGAAGGTGCGCTCAGCAAAAATGAGGCGAATATTGATGGTTTTCACGCTTAAGTCAAGTAAAAGACCGCTTCTTAAACCAGAGAAGGTATAATAAAATCTATAGATATAAAACAGTTCAAGCATATCACAATGTTAGTTGAAATGTTTAAACAGCATAAATGTGCGCTATTAGGCTCATATATAATTATTTGTGCGGAGAGTGGAAGCTGAAGGCACTCTGCAGGACATGGAGGCGCCAGCGCCATCACTCACTTGCATTTTTTCTTGATAGTGGAAACAACTTAAAATACGCCGTCATGTTTGCTCATAAAGGTAAGAGTAATACATTCGGAAATGTAAAGGGTCTACTTTAATTTGTGTGCATTCACAATATCAACAAAACGTAAAATAAATAGGAAAACAGAAGATGCGCTTGCCGTCTCGGTCTTGAACAGGAGGCTTCACAAAGATGAACCGAAACTCGACGAATTGAGTCACAGATATGATAAATATATCTATAGAAGAAAGCTTTACATTACTACTTTAAAACGAAATAATTCAAATCGAAAACAAAAACTCTTTCATTATGTAATCCGTAAAGATGCATTTCTCTCTAAAGGCACGTCCGATGAGGAGATGGCGAGTCATTTTTTCATCACCATCTAAACTATAACAATAAGGAAAAGCCTTAAACAGGCCCGATTATATTTTTTCTGATTTTTATGTTGCTCTGCTCTGAATACCTTAAAATTTAAAGGATTTGCGAATTATTTATTATATTTATTTAGATCCTGATTTTAGCTGGTCTAAATTAAGTAGGTTAGGCACAAATGTGCTTATATGGGTTCCCTTCTAGACACGAGCGCTGTGTGTTTGTATGTGCTTCATAACCGTGCACCCCTGGGGCCCCGTCGTTATAGCCTGCACTGGGGCCCGTCATTACTAAGTTACGCCACTGGTCGCTGGGGGATATTTGTAGCAATAACCAACAATGCATTGTATAAGTCACAATATATTTTTCTTTTATGCCAAAAATCATTCGGATATTAAGTAAAGATACCGAGAAACACATTATAAAAGAAGGCAGATGGCAAGTGGAGGATGCAATGTCTGCACTATTAGTGTCTCCTAGCGAAAACATAAAAACAAAACATTTTCAAAAATGTTTTTCACTTTCTCAGATTCCCTATTTAATAGCAATCTAATTATACTTGCAGAAATGTTCAAATAAACAAATTAGCATCATATGGTTGTACTACGACCAACTATTCAGCATAATCCATCCAAAATGTTTAATCTCACACATTTTTTTTGTGGACGTTTTATTTTTAATTTTTAATTTTTGTTTGTTTTGTCCCCAGGAGGAAAACAACTTATAAATCACACTGAATTCAGTTTTTTTTTTTTTTGGAAATCAAAAAATGCAGATCGTTTTGTACTGTTTAGGATTTCGAAAATACCGTTTGCACGGTATAAAAGCCACTACATCTATGGAAAACCACATATGAAAAAAATACTGTAGTAAACTGTAGGTAATTATACTTGCTGTAGCATTTACTACATTTGGTTAACTTCCACTACAGCATACTTCATAGTCCGTTTTAAACTGTAGTAAATACTGCCCCTGTTGAAAAAAACAGCATATGCTGGTTAGGTATGTTTTAACGCTGGGATGCTGGTTTATGCTGGTCCTTTGCTGGTTTAAACTGGTCCTTTGCTGGTTTAAGCTGGTCCTTTGCTGGATTAAGCTGGTCCTTTGCTGGTTCGTGCTGGTCCTTTGCTGGTATCAGCGAAATTGAGCAAAATCTGTCAATATTTTGTCTAAAATCTAAGTCACTTAATTTTAACTTCTTGTTTATTTAAATACTATTGTATAAAATCAGTGTCACATTGCAATCATGTTGATATTCGGGGAAATATCATGGCCGTATAATGTTGCTTACCTAAATAAAATTTTGTAAATATCTTCTTTTTTTTTTCTACCACAGTATGCATCTATACATTTCTGTGAGTCATGTGTACACTTTGTGTGTGCTCTCTCTCTCACAGACTCACTCATCTGGCGCGACATAAATACATTATCAGTCGCCGTTTACACACTGCAATTAAAATTAGAATCATTCTCACGCGAAACAACATGTTTACACATGACTGTGAGTGTGCGCATGGCTGTGACTTCATTGTTGGTGCCGCTCAGGTGATCAGCTCAGAATCAGCAAGACGTGAGACTGACCGGCCAGTCACCGATCCGGGCCGGTCATGCGAAAAGTCAGCTGATTCCGATCATTGGCCGATAAATCGGTGCATCTCTATTTTTTTTTGCATAGTTTGTCCAAGGTTTTTTAATTGAAGTAATTGAAGTTACATTTTTTGTATAAAAATAGAATTCATTTAGATACTATTTATACACTATTTCCTTAAAGTTGTCTTGTGTTTGATGAGATACAAACCCAAAAGCTTAAAATTATTTGAATCAGTTTGTACAAAGAAATTATTAATTCATCAACTCATTATCACGTGAGAAGTCTTGTACCGGCAAATGACTTCTCACCGGTGATTCCCGATGGTTTTAGAGGACAATTACTCCTCGTCGCACCCTGTCGTTTCAAAGAATAGTACAATGGTGAACGCGACAAGTATAAAAGTCTCATCCGTTTGGGAATGTGCATGCGCAGTCAGTGGAGGCTCGTGGAGCGGAGCCAGGCAAAAGTATAAATCAGCCTTGAAGGTGCGTTCACGCCATATCGGAATTACGAGATACCAACTTGTAAAAAGCATTCACATCCTCCTAGAACTCGTAATTACAACTTGTGAACTGGGAGTTTTCTGAGAGCTACGGCTGGTACCACGTGACCGCTGCACCTCATGCGGAACCAGATAAAAATGGCAGCGCTTTCAAATAAAGCTATTACTACCCAAAAAAAGGAGAAAATAGATACATATATAGATACTACTGTAACACAGGAAGTCGTGACGACGGAGTTGGGGATCCAAAAGCAAGGCTTTATTTCATAGAGCGTAGTAACAACAGGCAGGGTCAAACACCAACAAACAATAACATCCGAGGCACAAGCAAAAGAGTAATCCACAAGACAAGGCAATGGTCAGGGCAGGCAGCAATAAATCAAAAACAAGTTAACAGTCTGAGGATCAAACACAATAACCAGGAAACACAGAATGCAAGACAACAGGAGGCTAAACATTCAATCACCAGCAAAGTCAGAGAGTATGTGTGCTACTATTAAAGTCCTTCTAATGTGAGACAACTGTGAACTGATGATGAGATCTGATGAACAACAGGTGATTGCAATTGATGATGTGTCCAGGCAGAGGATTATGGGAAATGGAGTGAGTGGTAAAGGGTACAGGATGGGGTGCCCTCTAGCAGAGCTCAGAGGCCGCCCGCCCCCCCCTTAAGGAGTGGCTTCCAGACACTACTTAACAGACCAGAGTCTAGGAGGGAGGTGGAGCAGAGGCGGAACAAGGGGAGGGATGGAGGGCCAGTTCCATGAGAAAGTGAAGCAACAGGGGACTGAGGCAGAGCCGACGGAGCAGGAAGCAAAGGCAGAGCCAGGAGCCAAGGCGGAGCCCGTGGAGCAGAGAGCCAAGGCAGAGCCAGGAGCCAAGGCGAAGCAGACGGGACCGAGGATCCCAACGGCGGAGCAGATGAGTACCAGGGTGGAGCTGATGGAACCGAAGACCACTTCAGCGGAGCTGATGGTGCAGGATACCACCAAGGCGGATCAGGCAGAACTGGTACATAGAGCACAGAGGGGTTAACAATTGCCTCAGCGGCCGTAACAGGACTGGCAGACAGTTGCCACCTCGGGGGGAACAGGAGCTGACTCTGGGACAGATTCAAGGACTGGAGTGAAGTCTGGGGCAGACTCTGGGACTAAAGTCATCTTTGTACTGTGCTCAGGAGCTAAAGGCCTCACTAGACTAAGGTCAGGGGCTGGAACGAACACTGAGCTTGACATGGGAACATAAACCCTCTCTGGGCTCAACTCGGGAACGGGAGCCTTCTCCGAGCTAGACTTGAGATCAGATTCGGGGAGTAGAGTGGGCGCCACCACCTCGGGAGGTTGTGCAGCAGAGGCTGGCACCTCTGGGGAAACTACAGTGGTGTGTGTGGCCCAAACACAGAGAATGGCTGTAGCTATTACTGGCAAGACAGAGAGTACATTGTCTATTTCCAAAACGAATGGTGCTGTGCCTGGGGAACTGGGGTGAGTAGCGCCCGGCAGGCTTGAGATTGTAGAAATTGTGTGGCTCATTACAAACCAAGAAAAAGTATGTGGCGATGTGGCTGTGGAGAAAACTGTGGCTGGCTTAGTGAGAGCGAGAGGGTCCGCCTCCTTCCACTTTATAGCCTCGTCTCCCCAGCTCAACCAATAAGGAACTAGAGACAACAAAAAAAAGATGATGAACAGTATGCACAATATGAACACTAATGTTTATTTGAGGACTCGCGTACGGGGCTGATGACACCTAGTGACTCGTACGCTACGACGCATGTTTCTATAGAAGAATAAAATGTCATCAGCATGCGCTAATAGTAAACAAAAAGAGCATGATAAATCACACTTTAGCAGTTGTATTTTTTATGTGTACTGAAAAAAAAAGCGACAAAAGAGGAAGGTATAAGAGCTTGAGGTAAGCAGTTTTATGTTTTAACGTCACGTCCCGTTGATTTCATGTCGCATCTTTATTGGTTGGTCAGTAAATGTGAATCGTACCAGCGAATACATTGTGCGATAATAATGCTGTGTCGTAGGCTATCTTTGGCAACAAGATCTTGACAACGGCCGTCTTTGAACCTCTCTCACTGAACGACTCAGGACCCACGATCACAGAAATTGCCACAATCATTTCATGATGCCAATCCTTTGTCTGGGACAGCCGAAAATCGTGCAGTGTGTTTAGGGCTTAAAGCCACAGGTGCGCCAGAGCATCCACACCCATAAGTTCACTGCCTCTCACCAATGAGAAGAATAGAGGTCAGTGATTTTTGTGTAATTTCTTAAGAGTTCTACAGCAGCGTGGCCAAACCTCTTCCACAACTGACCAACGACCTAAGGGTGGAGTGTCCATTCTCCATACAGAGGATTCCCTCTGGACGGGAGTCCGCCCCTGCATTCATTATTCCCAGGATATGTTTTGCCTGTAATGAATGAATGAAAGTTTCTCACAGGTGCCAAGTTTAAGAGCTGCAGATGACGTAGTTATTTTAATAACAACAGAAACATGGTGAACACCAAAATTATAGATTACTTTCTCTAAAACACAACAGAAAACAACAATGCTGCAAATGTAGTTATTTTTCTTACTATCTATTTATCCATCTATAACCTATGGCTACATTCACAGTCAGGTTTGGGATTGAGAACCACATTTAGTGAAAGTGACATGTGGCCAAGTATGGTGACCCATACTAGGAATTAGTGCTCTGCATTTAACCCATCCAAAGTGCGCACACACACAGCAGTGAACACACACTGTGAACACACACCCGGAGCAGTGGGCAGCCATTTACGCTGCAGCGCCCGGGGAGCTGTTGGGGGTTCGGTAACTTGCTCAAGGCCACCTCAGTCGTGCTATTGAAGGTGGGAGAGAGCGCTGTACATTCACTCCCCCCACCTACAATCCCTGCTGGTATGAGACTCGAACCCGCAACCTTTGGGTTACGAGCCCGAGTCTCTAACCATTAGGCCACGGCTTCCCTATTTACTTAAATGTCCCGTTCCCACAGCAGCTTACAGTAGTGATCCAATCAAGCCGCGAGTTCTTCCGTCAAATCTTCATTACCCGACAGCAGCTTTTAAATTTGGGTAGAGAGTGGAGCATATTTGAGTCGCGTGCAGAACACAAAATTGACGGGAGCGGCTCCGGTGGAAAACTGACTGGATCTAAAACTGTCAGATGACACACCGCTCATTTCTCTGTCACTGTAAGTTACCGAAACCACACATGAAAATGCGTTTGTGCAGTAGAGCGGCTCTCTCGCACTGTATGACGTAACAGACAACTAGTTGTCCAGTCCTGTTCCGTTCACACAGTGTCTGTGTTCCGAGAATGCGGTTGACTTTTATTATAAATAATTTTGGTTTTGTAACATCTGTCTCACATCTGTCATGGTAGATCGGACTCTTATTATAGAATTTGGTTACAGAAAAACTGTTTTTGAAAATGGTAATGGATTAAAACATAAGTAACAGGCTGGATGTACATTAACCTTACATCTTAACACTTTTTTTTTTTTTTTTTTACAAAGCAGACCATATATCATATTTGGGCAGTTTTCCGGACTGAGATTAAGCCTAGTCCTAGACTAAAATGACCCTTTAAACCAGATTAACAGAAATCTGCTTTCTCCATCATGGTTTTAAATAGTCTTAGACTTGGTCTAGTCCAGAATTTAATAGGCTGATTTCCTGGAGTAAGACTAGAGCTACTTAAGGACTAAATTGAGGCTTAAATTAAATCTACCAGGAGGCAGGTTTAACTTCAGATTAATGTCATTTGAAAGACACATGGATTACTTGGTCTTCATTGACATAGGCCAACGCTTACCACCAGCTAGACAAGTTTTTGCAGACAGAAGTGACCTATTGCAACATTTTGATGAAATACGTTTTTGAGATAATTTCCACATGCATATAGTAAATGCAGTAGAAATTATTTCACTTTCAGAAACCAGGCATTCATCTGTGACCCAAAGGGGACAGCCTGTTCCAGTTTGTCTCCAGGTGCTCATAACGTTAAGGTTTTTGGCATGTGGTGCCTTTCATTCAAGAAACTGGGAATTTATGTGGTGTCTGTGAATGACTTTACATACTGTTGGTTCACCGAGTATGCAGGGCCATTTATGAATTAAGACCATATTACATCAACTTCCCTGATGCTACAACCCAGGCTAACTACAAGGTACTATTCTATGAATATGGAAATTTCCCAGGAGTCATAGGTTGCATAGATGGAACCCATATTCCCATTAAGCGTCCCCCTACTCCAGATGCTGAGGAATAAGGAACTGAAAGAATTGGTTTTTCATAAATGTCCAAGGTGTATGCACTCCCCAGTTACAGTTCTCAAACATTGTTGCACATTGGAAAGATGCAACTCATGATTCCTGAATTTTCCTCAACTCATCTCTGTATACTCAGTTTGAAAGAGTATTGCTTGGCGACAGTGGGTATGCGCAGAAGAAACGGCTGAACAACGACGCTACAACCAGGCTCATATGCGCGCAAGGGGTTTAGTAGAGCACATGTTCGTGGAAGAGTCGCTTTCAGTGCCTTCGGAAAACACTCCGATTCAAACCAAGAAGATGCTGCACTGTCATCATTGCAACAGCTGTTCTTCACAACTACCTGAAACAGCAGGGATGCCCAGATCCCCCAATAGAAGAGGATGACAATCCAGATGTGCCACCATTTACAACAGACCTCAGAGAAGGACTTGCATACAGACATGCTTTTGCATTGTGCCACATTAAATAGATATTTTATGCCTTTCAACCTTCTGCTCAGATCTGATACATGTAATGAGCAAATAAAATATCAGACAAAATATCATTATACTTTTAACATATATGTTATGAAACCATCATTTCCATCTTGACTTAATAAAACAATATTTATTTCACAGATTCATGTATAGATGTGACATTTTGAGCCTGCTGCATCTCTCTCCTCCATCTTCATCTCCAGTTCTTCTTGTAGTATCTTCCTCTTAATTTCATGCTCCTCCTTAAGATACTTCAACTTGTGTTCATGGAATTCATTAGCCAACCTTTCATGGACGGAGTCTTTTCTTCTGGTGACCAGTACTGGCAGACATTGCCACCCTTGCTCCTGAGGATGTGGAGGGTAAACTGCCTTCCATCTCTTCAGTTCTGTTCTGACCTTCTCCTTGAAAAAAGAACAGTTCATTTATGGTCAAATAAATACAGATTAAATGGGGAAATGTTTCACGTCAGATGACAGAAGCAAATTAAAGTTTGAGAGGAGAGAAACAAGTCATATACTTAGGTGCGTGTGATCCATCATCTGAACTATCTAGACGGTCATCATCTGGTATGTTCTCCAAAGGCTGCTGGTTCTCCATTATTCCTGTCAGTAACTCATCCAACTCGTCTTTATTTGCAGGTCCTCCACCAGTCTTAAACCTCTCTCTTCGAGCTTCAGCAGCAGTTTTCTTTAGGTTTATTTTTATATTCTTCCACAAAACCTGTATTAAATAATGACAACAGTGATTTAAAAAAAAGCCACATAATAAAGCTGATTATTCTTACCTGAAGTTGTTGCATTGTTCTTGTAGATGTGTTGATTTGCATTAAATTCATTACAAATAGATTTCCAGGCATCCCTTTTCTTTGATTCAACAGCTGATGTGCGCAGTTTATCTTCAGTAACAGGAGGTCTTGCTTTATAAAACTATTTGCTTTATAATACTTTTCTCATGTTCAGAAAAGTTCTCTGATCGCACTCTCTTTTCAGCTGTCATTGCCATTTGCTTTTCAGTTGCATACAATTCTAAACTTTTCTTGGTTAAGTCCATGTTTTATAGGCAACCTCAATTCAGCTAGTTCTGATTTGCACAGGTGGTTTTAAATGAATCAAGTTTATTTTAGTTCAGGACTCTAGTCCAGGTGTTAGTAATCTGTACTTAATCTGTGAATCAGAAAGCCATTTTTAAAGCCATGATTAACTATTCTAGATTAAGGCCTACTCCTGTCTTAATTTAAACCCTGTCCGAGAAACCGCCTCATTATTAAGTCATATCATACATTATTAATAAAAATATAATATATTATAGTTTGTCTAAACAGCTTCGTAAATAGGAAGATTTCAAAACATGAAGATTCTGAATGGAATTATTTTAGCGAGCCATTAAATGACTAGAGACTCGACTCAGGCTGTGTTTACACCTCAAGTCTTAATGCACAGATCCGATCTTTTCACCATATCTGATTTTTTGGCACGTCTGTTTACATTCACTTTAGACACGCCTCGTATCCAATATCTGTGTTTACACTAATCTCCCGCCTAAAATAATTTCACTGGCTTTCAATGACAATGAGCGCAACGACTGACCCTCGAATTCTGGATGGACTTTTGATTATTCATGCGTGTTTAGACGTAGGTCGGATGTCCAGATATCGGATATGTATCTGATTTAAAACCACATTTGGAAACGGCTGAAATCGGATGCGAAAAAATCGGATCTCGTGTTGATTTTTGTGTTTACACGCATGAATCATATTCCGATCGGTGTTAGATGTGGGCAAGAAATCTGATTTTTTCTTCCAGTGTAAACGCAGCCTCAGACTAGTGACCAAAGACTCGAGACTTGACTCAGACTCCAGCGATAAAGACTTCAGACTTGACTCAGACTCCAAGTTAAAGACTTGTGAACATCTCTGCCTTCCACATTGACCACATATGAAATGTTTCTCTCCGGTGTGAATGGTCATGCGGTATCTACGGTTTAGTTGTGTTATGAAGCTCTTTTCACATTGATCGCAGCGTGACAAAATATTATAGAACTCATAGAACTCATTATAATCAGTGATGCTGTTAACACTGAATAGCGGCGCAATGCAAAAACAAATTCCTGACAGTAAACTGCTCCCTCGTTCTATTTATGATGTACTGGCACAAAGTTCAAATGATTTGCAACGGTTGCTTTATCGTATCCAGTGTAGACAGACTTTAAGTATTGTTGCATCCGGTGTAGACACGATGTAAGGCTTCTCTCCAGAGTGAATTCTCATGTGATTTTAAGGTTTCCTTTTTTAGCGAAACTCTTTCCACACTGTTTACAGATAAAATGTCTCTCGAGTGTGAATCCACATGTGGACTTCAAGGTTTCCTTTTTGAGTGAAACTCTTTCCACACTGTTTACAGATAAAATGTCTCTCTCCGGTGTGAATCCCCATGTGGACTTCCAGGTTTTGTTTTTGAATGAAATTCTTTCCACACTGTTGGCAGCTGAACAAGCTCTCTTCACTGTGAGTTCTCATGTGGGAATTAAGGTTGCTTTTATGTGTAAAACTCTTTTCACACCGAGAGCAAGTATAAGGCTTTTCTCCAGTGTGACTTCTCATGTGCACTTCAAGGTTTCCTTTTTGAGTGAAACTCTTTCCACACTGTTTACAGATAAAATGTCTCTCTCCGGTGTGAATCCCCATGTGGACTTCCAGGTTTTGTTTTTGAATGAAATTCTTTCCACACTGTTGGCAGCTGAACAAGCTCTCTTCACTGTGAGTTCTCATGTGGGAATTAAGGTTGCTTTTATGTGTAAAACTCTTTTCACACCGAGAGCAAGTATAAGGCTTTTCTCCAGTGTGACTTCTCATGTGCACTTCAAGGTTTCCTTTTTGAGTGAAAGACTTTCCACACTGTTTACAGATAAAATGTCTCTCTCCTGTGTGAATCCTCATGTGGACTTTAAGGTTTTGTTTTTGATTGAAATTCTTCCCACACTGTTGGCAGGTGTATAAGCTTTCTCTACTGTGAATTCTCATGTGGGATTTAAGGTTGCTTTTTTGTATAAAACTCTGTCCACACTGAGAGCAAATATAAGGCTTTTCTCCAGTGTGACTTCTCATGTGGACTTCAAGGTTTCCTTTTTGAGTGAAACTCTTTCCACACTGTTTACAGATAAAATGTCTCTCTCCTGTGTGAATCCTCATGTGGACTTTAAGGTTTTGTTTTTGATTGAAATTCTTCCCACACTGTTGGCAGGTGTATAAGCTTTCTCTACTGTGAATTCTCATGTGGGATTTAAGGTTGCTTTTTTGTATAAAACTCTGTCCACACTGAGAGCAAATATAAGGCTTTTCTCCAGTGTGACTTCTCATGTGGACTTCAAGGTTTCCTTTTTGAGTGAAACTCTTTCCACACTGTTTACAGATAAAATGTCTCTCTCCAGAGTGAATCCTCATGTGGACTGCCAGGTTATGTTTTTGAATGAAATTCTTTCCACACTGTTGGCAGCTGAACAAGCTCTCTCCACTGTGAGTTCTCATGTGGGAATTAAGGTTGCTTTTATGTGTAAAACTCTTTTCACACCGAGAGCAAGTATAAGGCTTTTCTCCAGTGTGACTTCTCATGTGCACTTCAAGGTTTCCTTTTTGAGTGAAAGACTTTCCACACTGTTTACAGATAAAATGTCTCTCTCCTGTGTGAATCCTCATGTGGACTTTAAGGTTTTGTTTTTGATTGAAATTCTTCCCACACTGTTGGCAGGTGTATAAGCTTTCTCTACTGTGAATTCTCATGTGGGATTTAAGGTTGCTTTTTTGTATAAAACTCTGTCCACACTGAGAGCAAATATAAGGCTTTTCTCCAGTGTGACTTCTCATGTGCACTTCAAGGTTTCCTTTTTGAGTGAAAGACTTTCCACACTGTTTACAGATAAAATGTCTCTCTCCTGTGTGAATCCTCATGTGGACTTTAAGGTTTTGTTTTTGATTGAAATTCTTCCCACACTGTTGGCAGGTGTATAAGCTTTCTCTACTGTGAATTCTCATGTGGGATTTAAGGTTGCTTTTTTGTATAAAACTCTGTCCACACTGAGAGCAAATATAAGGCTTTTCTCCAGTGTGACTTCTCATGTGGACTTCAAGGTTTCCTTTTTGAGTGAAACTCTTTCCACACTGTTTACAGATAAAATGTCTCTCTCCAGAGTGAATCCTCATGTGGACTGCCAGGTTATGTTTTTGAATGAAATTCTTTCCACACTGTTGGCAGCTGAACAAGCTCTCTCCACTGTGAATTCTGATGTGGGAATTAAGATTGCTTTTATGTGTAAAACTGTGTCCACACTGAGAGCAAGTATAAGGCTTTTCTCCGGTGTGAATTCTCATGTGGACTGCAAGGCTTCCTTTTTGAGCAAAACTCTTTCCACACTGTTGGCAGGTGTAAGGCTTCTCTCCAGTGTGAACTCTCATGTGGACCTTAAGGTTTCGTTGTCGATTGAAACTCTTTCCACAGTGATGGCAGGTAAAACTCTTAGATTCTACCTTCTTTTCTCCTATTTTTAAATCATGATCTTTCTCATTCTGCTCTTTCTCCTCCATATCCTTCAGCTCTCGACTCTTCTCAATCAGGTCTAGAAAAAAAACATACAAAAAACAGTTTAATGTCTTTGTCAGCTTCAATCTCTCTTAAGATCAAGTTGTCCATGGTTGTCCAAAAGCACAATTTATGGTATGCGAAACATGGAAGCATTCTCAAGATCTGGTTTATTGCTCGCATCACCAATGAAAAAGTCTTGCAGCTGGGAAATTCCAACAGCCTTCAAGCTGCCATCACACAGCAACATCTCAGGCTAGTCGGGCATATTCTATGCATAACAATGCATTGGTGGCCATGAGGCCCAAGCGTGGACAACCCGGAACCACCTGGTGCCAGACCTTTACCAACAATCTTAAGCATGCCGGCATATCCTGGGATGAAGCTGAAGTGCTGGCAGAGGATGACAACAATGGGGAGACCTCACCCATTGTGCCCAACAGCACAGGAGTAAGTCAGGTCATATCTATC